TCGACACATGTGATTCAAATAAACTGAGTGGGTCAGGTTGAGAAACCTGGTGAGTACATAGGGTTTTCAACCCACAATAATATAATTATTATATTCAAATAATTAATCAATCAACCCAATTACCCATCATCATTATCTTCTTTATTCTATCCTAAGAATTAGCTATTCATCGTTCATTTATTCCTAAGGATTATCCTAAGGAATCGGCACGAAGTTCATCGTTGTCATGGTTTACTCAACGGGCACTAAGTCTGCATAGTCGCCAGGGTTAAGGCACCAAGTCTGCATGGTCGCCAGGGTTTAGGCATCAAGTCTGCATGATCGCCAAGGTTTAGGCACCAAGTCTGCATGGTCGCCAAGTTTTAGGCACCAAGTCTGCATGGTCGCCAGGGTTTAGGCACCAAGTCCGCATGATCGCCAAGGTTTAGGCACCAAGTCCGCATCATCGTCGGGGTTTAGAGTACACTGGGTGTACACATCGTTCACAACACCTACAGGTTGCGAGTCTGCTAGTGTTCCACTGGACTGTCTAGAATAGTCTGTGGTTGTCATCCATACTCTACTAGATGACGGGGCCAACATTTGGGAACAAGGCTTCTCGCATTGTCCACCTCTCACCCTTACCTCATGGTCTATATCACCCCTCAACTCATCATCCAACTCATATTTCATATACCCATGTTTTACCCAACATATTATGTAGATATAAATACATATACAGTTTAAATCATATAAAACTTGTATAAAATCGTTCATCCAGCATAGATAGCAAGTATACAGATAATATGCACACATAGCACGTAGTTTATATAAAATACTTCATATTTATGTGTAAGATGAAAGTAACTATGCACTCACAGCACATATTAAATACTTCATATCTATGTGTAAGATGAAAGTAAATATGCACTCACCTGGTAAGGTGGTGACTCGGTACTCGGACAGCACTTCGTTATCTCAAAACAATTTTCCCTTGACAAAACCTAGTATCAATATCACTAGGGTTTAGTCTAACGTTAACTGCGACTAATTAGTAGTCTAGCTATTATTACAATTATATAAGCGTTAAGTAACACTCTTATGTAACTCATAATAAGAGCTCATATATTTATTATAAGGTCCTAATAACATTACTATATTTAAACATAAGCTATACTTAAGGTAGGGTAAGCATATCTCACTTACGATGAGTTTGGCTAGGAGTCGGGCTCTGCAGGGGCAGAACTTCCGAGCCGAAAGCTCTTCTTCTTGGAGCCTTCCGGTTCTCCGGGACTCGCCTCTAACACCTAGGAGGTGCTAGGGAAGGGGGAAGAGGGTTTGGGGGTAATGGGAGAGAAAGAGTATGAAATGTGTGAGTTTTGGGGGTGATTTACGCCTCTATTTATAGGTTGTCTGGGCCGATTCACGTCGTGAGAAAGGGTGCTCACGTCGTGAGCCTTGCGTAGGCTCCAAAGCGAAGTCTGGTGCTGACACGTGGCGTAGGGCGCAGGTAAAACAGTCAATCTTTAAAAATTCATAACTTTCGCATACGAACTCCGTTTTTGACGTTCTTTATATCTACGCGTAGGTAAAGACAAGATCTACAACTTTCCTTTTGACTCCATCGGCTAATTTTGACCGATTTTAAATTTAATAGTATGAGAAGATTACACTGTTAAATGTCCGCGTAAAATTCATAACTTCTACATACGGACTCTGTTTTCGTCTGTCTTTTTACCGTTGAGTTTCTATTAATGAGATCTTCAATTCTCATTTAGGTTGCATAGGCCAAAAACCGCTCGATCTAAAATTCGAGTTTCGGGTCGTGCACTGCTATGCCAAATCTTAGAAAATTCATAATTTCCTCATACGAAGTCAGATTTGGACGTTCTTTTTTCGTATGTTCTCGGTTTAACGTATACTACAACTTTTGTTTAGATTTCTAAGGCTAAAAAGTCCTTCATCGTAACTTCACTATTTACATCTCCCGGTGCCGTGCCGGTTTTGCCGTAAAACTTCGACGGGCCATAACTTCTTCGTTATAACTTGGATTTCGGCGTTTTTTATATGTACGGAACCCTTGTAACATATGCTACCACTTGGTTAAGATTATACCTTCTAAATAATCTCCCATCAAAAACTCATTTTTGATGCTCATTGTCTCTAAATTGACTAGTCCAGATCTACGGGCGTTACAGTCTTCTCACTGTATTACCTTTGTCATAGTGGTGTGCATGCTAGACTAGTTAAGTCTTATTTGTTGATTGTTGTTATGTATATTATTGATTTGTTGATAACTCCAGGAGTGCTGATAGTACACAGGGTTGTTGATAACCCATAGGGCATGTTGTTCGCCCACAAGACTGCTAATAGTCCTCAAGACTGCCGATAGTCTCAGGGTTGCTGATAACCCATAATTGTTTATTATGTTGTGTTGTATGTGATATTTTGGGGAACTCACTAAGTTCCGTGCTTAAAGTTGTGGATTAAATGTGTTTCATGTACTTCAGATGATCGTGGGAATGCGAAGGCTTGACTGTACACACCCGCCTGTAGTTTTTTGATTCTGCGTGTTTTGATACTCTGATTTCGGGTGATTGTATTTGATACTATTGGTTTTATCGAATTGGTTCTTTATAAAAATGATGTTTTATCTACTTATAAAAATGAAAATTTTTGTGGTAAAAATTAGGACGTTACACTTGGAATTAATGACTTTAGGAATAAGAGAAATAAAAGAACGGTTACACCCTTTTAGGAACTTGTTGGAATTAAAAAATTCCATCACAACAGTTATGATATCAGCCTCAATTAGGTACCAAAAGTTCCTTATGAATTCTAAAGTGAATCCATCTGGCCTTGGAGATTTATCAACACTACAATCCCAAATTGCCATTTTAATTTCTTCACATGTAACCTTACACTCTAAGCCCAAGGATTGTTTAGATGCCAGATAGTTCAGGAACTCCTAATTAACAGGAGGACAAGGAGTAAAAGGGTTATCAACCCAATCACCATAAACTAGTACACCACAAATTGCCAGTTGTTTTTGTCTTTTATTTAGAATGCCATGAAAATACTTTATGTTTTTATCTCCCTTAACCGCCTACAAACCTTGGCTTTTTTAGCAACATCTATAGCTTCGGTCCGATCAATGTCACCAAAAGCCTTTAACAAGGAAGCGTTGGCTGCCACATCATTAGAAGTACTAACCCCACAATCCAACTTATTATCCAAATCCCCTAAACCTCAGAGAATATCGATTTTAAAAGACAATTGAGCCTCCCTTGTTGTATTATTCCACATTCTCAGGTTTTTCTTAAGAACTTGTAGTTTCTTCTTGAGGGACACCAGCCTATTTGACTCTATAATCCCATCATTTTTCTAAGAGTCCTCCACAACTTTCTCAAAGCCATCTACAAGAAACCATGTGTCAAATAATATAAAAAGAGACGAACCATAATCAAACACCGCCTCTTTTAACAGAAATGGAAGATGATCAGAAAAATGGTGGTCTAATATAACACCCAACAAATGAGGAAACAACTCCAAAAGCCCTACCAAGAGAAGGAATCTATCAAGCTTACTCATTTTTCCTGCAACTTTGTTGGTCCATGTAAACCAGTATCCTCCAATAGGTAAATCAAACAACCCAAGATTAGCAATAAAAGTATTAAACAAATTTGTAGAATGAGGATGAAAAAATAGCCTCGTATCTTCCACTTTCACAATGAACCTCATTGACCTCGCCCTACCACCACACAATGATACCACATAATTGGTCCTACAATCTTTATTCAGTAACTTCCTAAGGAGCATGTATGCACAAACACAACAAACAGCTAGGTATTGATGGAACTCGAATTCCCTCATTTATAAGAAAATGATCAAAATGATCAGAGCAACGAACACTATTCTTGCAAAATGAGTTTGTATCCAACGCNNNNAAAAAAAAAAAAAAAAAAAAAAAAAAAAAAAAAAAAAAGGCCCAGACATGCTACATGCATTTTCAAAAGCAAGATTTCATTTCCTCATAATGGTTTATTAGGTATTGTATTTTTTTTAAAATCCTACCCTATTAATTCTTCGCATAAAAAAAAAAAAAAAATGCGTCCACTTGTGTTTTGTATTTGTTTTGTAAATTGGATGATGGTTATAGTTTATAATTTATTGTTTGACGTCTCTCTATATATGTCATATTATTTATGTTTTGTCTTTTTAAGTTTATTTTAGTTTATCGAAACTGTTGTGTTCACAAACCTAATAAGGAAGGTGTACATTAAAGGATTTTAACCAGTTTTATCATGTATGAAACGGTTGTTGGGGTTGGGGGTCAGGATAATGATAATCGACCGCCAATAAAACTTAAGTCCTTAACACTTGTGACTTGAATTCAATTTTGTTGGCACTCGGTGACGTTAGTGCTTACCAACTTGTTGTATTAGCCAATCCGCCTCCCAATGCAGTTTCTTAAATCTAAAGTTTGAAATAGCCGAAAATCAAGATGGTATGCTCAACCAAACATAAAGGGAAATCTTAGGTCGAAATATCAAATGGAACACTTGTCATATTTAATAAAATTAATAATTTTTTATTACATTTGTCATCATCTAAAAATAGTTGGATAATGGATCTAAAAATAGTAGGATAATGGATAAGAAGAAAAAATAAGAGGATATTTAATTTCTCGTTTTACAAATATCTAAAAAGAGTTGGATGAATACAATAATATTCAGAAATATGTAGTGTGAACCAAAAAGAATACGTCTAGACATAGTAAGGATCACAAATACTTCCATTTCTGAAAGATTGGATGAAGAAAGAGCATACTAATAATGAAGAAACAAGATGACGTCTGTATTTGAGAAAAATAATACACTAATGTTTTCAACATGTAAAATAGAGTTGTAATTGGGAGAAAAGGATGAAGATGCATGCATATAATTCAGAATGAAATCTGATTTGGCAATTGGCACGACATGAAGATGACATTGGTTGTTACATTACAGCAAATAAGAATAAATTGGGTTTACATCTACTTAGGCAGCAGTAGCAGGAAGGGGCTGGAGGGCTTTGAGAGGATTCATAATGACACCGTCTATGAGCCCATATTCTTTAGCTTCTTTGGCACTCATGAAATAATCACGGTCTGTGTCTTGGTTGATTCGGTCAAGACTCTGACCGGTGTGGTATGCCAGATATCCGTTCAAATTCGCCTTGTGGTGCAACATTTCATTAGCCTAAAAAACACAATTATTCATAACTCATAACCAAAACAAAACAAAACATATATATATATATATATATATATATATATATATATATATATATATATATTATGGAACCAAAATAAAAAGAGTAAAACAGCCACCTGGATATCTAAATCGGTTTGTCCACCTTGTGCCCCACCAAGAGGTTGATGTATCATTATCCTTGAATTCGGAAGGCTGTATCTTTTTCCTATAAAACAAACAATCAAATCATTCATACCATACCATACTAATTATTAGCAACCAACATCATCAATTCCAAATGTCAAAGTGGATATACCTTTGGTGCCAGCACCAAGCAGGAAAGCCCCCATACTGTCATGTCATGTCATGTCAAATAAATGTGTCATTGGAATTGGTCAACAAAAGTCAAATAAATGGAAAACAAATACTGTATGAAATTCTATAATTTACCTAGCAGCAAGCCCGACACATACAGTTGAGACGTCAGGGCGGATATGCTTCATGGTGTCAAAGATGGCCATACCAGCAGTCACTGATCCTCCAGGAGAGTTCACATACATCACAATATCCTGTCAATCAATATCATCTTCAATGAATCACTTAAATTTCTACACCATTTAATTGGGAAAGACATGGATCTCATCAAACCTTGTTAGGATCAACAGCATCAAGGTACAGAAGCTGAGCAACAATGATGTTTGCCATGTCATCATCAACAGCTCCACCACAACGGATAATTCTCTATCCACATACAGGTCAGGTATATTATATAAGGAAAGTGAAGTCACAGGTGTAAGTAAGGCGGCTAAAGATAAAGGATGAAGCAACTCACATATTGAAAAAGCTGACTGATAACACTCTGGAACCGTTCTTGCATCATTGGGGGTGGCCCTTGACCTTGTGCATATGCCGGGAAGTAGGGTGATGATGGAACTTGTACATCCTCCCTGCAAATTCAATATTATCATTACTATTTACCAAACAGACTGAAAAAAAAAAAAAAAAAAAAAAAAAACCTATTCCTACCTAATGGACCATACTCCCTGCCTCGAATTCTTGTTAACTGATGAATAATCACCAGAATAAACAGCTTTCACTGAAGAAGAAGAACAAGTCCCAACACTTTTCTGATTACTTCTCAATTTACTTGCTTTCCTGCAATGCAATCAATAAACCTCATCATCACATTTTCTCCCCCAAAATTAACCTACCACTTATGAATCTGTTATTATTTTATATAACAAATGCAGAATTTTATTCATTCTATTTCTCACATGTTCAGTTTAACCCAAAAAACCAACCCTATGTTTTCCTATGAAATTAGTGTTTTCCAATCAAGATATATCATCTACTTCCAAGAAATCCATTAACAGTCAATATCAACATTTTATAGAATGAATTTTAACCCTTGGAGTAGAAGATTTTTGTTTATTTGGGCATGGTCAGTATCAAACTCCTTGACTTTTAAGGACCGAGAAATTGACTTACTTTGGTGTAGAAGGATATAAAAAGTTAGTCTTTAGTTTAGTGTCAACAGAAAGAAACCATAGGCAAGGAAGGATTTTCTTCGTTTCTATAATTCTATTTTAACGAGCAAGCGCACTTCAGATTATTAATCATCAAGTTCTTAGCTTCAATAGAGCCCAGCAACCTCAGGTAATAAATCTTCAACATAGAGGATTTTAATCACACTGTACCTTGCCAATTAAACAGATTGCGTCCTAGTATTCAGACTTCACAATGTTAAAAGGAGTAATTTATCCAATTGAAAATCACTGAAGAACTTTAACAAGAAACACACACACGCACAGAGACACTTTTTTACATAAAGGATTATAAATAGTAAAATTTGATACCTGGAAGGAAGGGGGTTGAAGTTCTGTTCAGATATGGAACTAGGGCTTTTTGTAGAAGAGAATGCGAGAGAGTTAAATCTGAGAGAGGGGATGCAGGATTGTGCCATTGTTGTTTATCGATATGATAGGTCGTTGTGTTCTTGTGGAGGAAGAGATGGTTGCTTATCCGTTAAACGACGACGACGACTGCGATGGAGTGAGGCAGAGTGGGTGAGGTGAGGGGATTGAACCGATGAAGGAAGAAGATAAACAAGATTTTTATTTGGGTTACGTTGCGTGTGGGAATGTAAAACCCAAAATTGATAAAATTTCGTGGCACTCGGGTTGGGCCTGGGTTTGCTGTATCATTTCCTACCAATCGATTAGGATTTAAGAAGGCCAAAACTATAATCAATTATGAATATTCATGGTTATCATTTGTTAATAGATTTTACTTCTAACAAAAATTTGTCACATCAACATAGATATACATCAGGAATTATAACATCCAAATAATAATAATTTGTTGAATAGGGAAAATACTAGAAGTGGGTTCAAATATGTAAAAGTTTTTTTTTAAGAAAGAAGTAGAAGCTATGTTCATCAACAAACTAGAGGACATGTCTGTAAAATCAATACATATGATTTTGGTTAGCGTAAATTGGTATGAAAAACAAATTTGTGATTTTTACATTAGTTTTTCAGCGTAAATCATGTCCTCACATTAATCCATCCATATCCTCCAACTAATCTTTGAAATCTTCTGAGGTATAGAAAAATGGAAAGTTACAACGTTTGGTTGTGATTTTTGTTTTTACTTTGATTTGTGTAAACTTGTAGCTAATTTTTTTAATGTAATTATACGAAAATTTTAAATTTTAGTCTACTAGCAATCTAGGTACCCTCATGATGTAATTGCATGTGTTAAAACGTCTTCAGTTATATTTTTTTAATTCAGTTTAATACCATATTTATCATAAATAAACTAGCTTATGCAATTTAGCATTTGATAAGACTACAAAAGTAGCTTATTGTAGCTTACAAAATAACTTATAAGCTAGATGTTTTATAAACTAGTTTTGAAATAGCTTATGATAAGCTAGCAGCCTAAAACCGAAAACCTAAATCGTGAAACTGGGTGCATCCATGCATGGTTGATGGAAATATACATTTTAGACTATGTTTGGAATGTCAAACAATCTTATTTTCGAGTTTTTTTTTTTAAGGTTGTTATGTTTTGCAAATCAAAATGTAACTTATAAATTATGTTTTAAAAAAAAATACTTATAAAACTCTTTTTTGGTGGCTAACTAGATATGATAACTAAATATATTATAATAATATATCCTTATAAAATTAACTACATAATAACGAAAGACCTAAAATTCAATTATCATTTTATCGCAGTTTCTTAGTTTTTTAGCGATATATCAATTGATCACAAAAAACTAATCGCCAAAACATAGTGAAAAGACTCAAATAGTTAAATTGATGTGATAATTGTGGCATTTACACTTTATAACTATATTCGAAGGATATTCGATACCAAAAAAAATCACTTAAACGTATATAATAACTGTTATTTTGTATTTACTCTAATTTAATGAAATATATCACATATTTTTCTGATAATATTAAATTAATCTTCTGCATGTTCTTTTATCTCGTTTTACATATTTCATATAGTTTTCACCAAATGCAATTTTTATCATATAACTTATAGCTATCAATTATTTTTTTAGCTATCACCTAACTTTTCATCTAATTTGCAAACGTAACCTTAATAAAAGTAATTCCTAAAAATTAAGGTATCCACTCATAAACAAATATTTTTTACCTCTAAAAAAGTTTATTTTGAAACCATCGCTTTTTGAGATTGATATTATAAAATATAGTTAATTAGACAAATGACAATTATATTTTATATTGTTTTATGTTTAAACCTATTTTTTATTTCAAAAAAGCCTTTTTGTTTTTTCATTTTTTCTGACTTGACTATTTTATCAGGTTTATCGGTAATCTTCCGATTTTACACAATTATATTTTTAAAAACCCTCAAATTTTATTTTTCAAAAACATCCATCAAATTTTTTTTTTGTCAAAAACCCCCTCACATTTAACAAACTTTTTCGTTTGAACCAACTTTTTCATTTTGACTCATTATTCCCTTGTTTTTCTAGTTGTTATTTATGGTGTTCTTGACAATTTTCAGCCTTAAAATAGGAAACAATTGATTTTTCTCTAAACAATACAAAAGATGGCATGCCTATATATTGTTGGCAAATTGCATTTCAAAATCTAATTGTATGATACATTGATACTCAAAGATTATAATACGATTGAAGGAAAAAGGTCTAGTCTAACTTGATATCTTAAACTGGTTAATCTCGATAACTTTCAAACTCTAATTTATGTCTAGAATATATTTTTTTAGCTTTCATATTTTCCCCGTTATAAACATTTTCAATATCAAAAATTAGATTCCTTTCAAACTCTAGTCTTTCAGACTCTAGTTTTTCCGATGAAAAAATGTAACGTTTTCTTTTTTAGTTAAAGAAAAAATTTAAGTTTAAACTGAAAAATTGTAAATTGTAAAACGTAAGATTTTTTATACAGTTAACCCTTATAAATAATACAAAAAGTAAATATTTAAATCGATAGAATTGACTTGGCTTGTGATTTATACTACCAATCCGTATACGTTGCATTCGCTTTACCAAAGAATAAATATGAAACCATTGATACTAGTGGATGGCATGTTCGTTTTTGTAAGTTGCTAAAGTTTCTTCCTGCCAAAAATATATACATACAATACAACATACTCTACAATCATAATGAACTTCACCTCTAACTAATGTAAACCATGAAACAGAAGAAAAAGAAATAAAAAAGGACTCAAACGACAGCATAATCCATAACCGTTAAGCACTCACGAGCAGCCTTGGTGGTGGCCTCCTCTAATGCCTTGAAAGGAGAATCCTCACCAACTTTGTCTTTAAAGCATGCCTGGCAACTTAAGATATCCGTCTCCACCGCACCAAAATCATCCGCTAGCAATGTCACGTCCCGGACTCCAAGATCCGTTATAGCCCTGTTCAATTCATTCAGACTCGCTGCATACTTATCCACACATTTGCTCAGACACTTGCCCATTTCTGAAGAAGCAATATTCGGATCCTCCTTCAGAAGCTTCTTAGCCTCTTCCATGGCTACTTGAGAATCACTCTGGCTTTGTTTGATACGCGCTTCGATAGCCAAAGCAATGTCCTGATGGACCTTGGGCTATTGCAGGGGTCATCGCCTCTGGGCTAGATGATATTTCTGAAAGGGTGGAAGAACCCGGTGCAGGTGAGGAGGAGGACGGCGATGCATCTCTGTATGAGGCTACTGCAGCAGGGGCCATGGCCTCTGGGCTTAATGATATTTCTGATTCGGGTAATAGGGAGGAAGAAGCAGGGGCTGCTACGGTTTTGCCTATGAAAATCAAGGAATCAGGGGATGAAATTGGTGTCTCTTTGGCTTCATCTAAACCTAATAAAAATGGTGGAGGTGCCGCCTGGTTGGGCGAACCTTCATCTTTTGGTTCATCAAATTTAAATTTAGAATTCGGTTGGACTATCGATGGTATTGGCAGGATACTCAAACCTTCAACAGAGAGATATAATAAAATGAGAGAAGAGATGGAGATTATTACAAGTATACGAGCTTTTAGCTCCATATTTATCTCCTCTTCTCACTTGTACATGGAAATGGTAGAATCAGCCAATTTAAATTTGAAGCAAATATATAGTATTATATATATATGTATGTGGTTCATCATTCAATCAGGATTCCCTTCCCTATATTCTAGCCTAACCTTTCAGATTCATTTTCACATTTTCTTTGACTTTTCTACCAATGTATAGCATTTTCAAAAAATATTTACAAAATCATAGTATCTTGAAAAGTAATTACCTAAACTATAAATTCGGTTGATTTTATTATCTATTTTAAAATCATAATTATTGTTTCAACTCTATCATCCGCACCATCACTATTGTTTCCAGTCGGAACCTTTCTGGCCGCTGTTCTTCTTTTTTCTGGCTAAAAATACATATTTATAGATGAACCCCAAATAAAATTCAGAACTCTAAATAAAAACCAAACCAAAATAAAATTTAACCATAGATATGCAGGTCACCTTTATGAAATTAGTTTTTGGGTCTTACCTTCAAATTTCCTGCAAGTTCACCTGATGCAGCAACATTAATTTCCATACTGTTATTCTGTTATCGATTCTGGAGGAGCAGAAACGAAGATTAGCACATATTGAGGTGGAAAAGAAACAGTGAGGACTAGGTAAATAACCATCTCAAAGGATTTTTTTTGTTTAACAATGGCATTTTCTGGAGAGTAAGGATGCACAAGATTAAAAGTCAGATGGAAATGGTGATTGGATTGTTAGTGTGCCATTTTTACTTTTTAGTTTTAAACATAAAAATTTAGGTTAGATATCTTTTTATTTTCACCATTATTTGGTTAATAAATGTAGTATAAAACTACAACTAATCGGTAAATACATTTTATATGTACTATATTTCAGTAAAAAACTCCATTTTCTTTTGCCTTGTTTTCTTTTCTAGTCATATGATACAAAAATAAATACAAACAAACACATAAGAACCATCCAAAATTCCCCCAAATAAGGATGAAAATAATGCCAACACATTGTTACAAATAATGTCACTCGCTATAAAAATGCTTGCTACTGGGGGCAAACTTTTTTAAGCATGTGCTGGAGCTCTGTGGTTACCAAAATGCCATCTTCTTCAATCCTGTGGCGCATATCCGGATCCATTTTATCAGCAGCTATATAAGTCTGCAGCAACAAACCATACACCTTATCATCAACACATTTCAGTCTCTTTAAAATCTCCATTAGCTTCTCAGCACTCTCTACATCTCTCTCTTTCTCAAAATACTTCATCAACACATCAATACTGTCAATGTGGGGAAACCAGTTACTGTTTTCACTTTGTGTTGCAGCTGTTTCAATACATTTTAAAGCAAGATCCATTTGCTGAATCCCAATGTAATGCTTCATGAACAATGCCAAAGTCTGAACAAAAGGCCCTTTTGATTTCTTCACGGATCCATGGAAGACTAGTTCAGCTTCTTCAACCATGCCATGTCTTAAATAACCACTTATAACAGCATTAGCCACACGCGTATCATAATATGAGTAATTCGATTCCCATTCTACAAAACATTTCTTCAATCCATCCAGATCATCCACTTTAGAAAGTGCCTGAAGCATAATCCGGTAACTCATGTTACTGATTGTTTCGAATGACGATTTTAGAAGATTCCATATGCGATGAACTTCCTCTTGATTATTAAGTGCAGCATAAAACGTTATAAGAAAATGGAAAGCCTCACGTGAAGGTTGGCCCATGCCCATCTCATTTTCAAGCATTTTAAGAGCTGACAAGGCTTTCTCATGATTACCTACTTTGACATAAGCTGCAGCAATGTTACTGTAAGTTGTCCAGTTACAAGTCTCTTTTTTTTCCTTTGTTATTTCCTCAAAAACCCTCTCTACCCCCTCAATATCTCCTAAAAGCGAACAGCTATGCATCCAGATGTTATAAGTAAAGTTGCTCAAATTGATTTTCCTTTTCTTCATCTCTTCCACTAAAGGAGGGACTTTTTCAGGCTGGTCTATTCCCATATACAGGGTCATTAGATTGTTGAAAGCTAAAGTGGTGGTGAAGTTCTTAGCTTCAATTTCCTTAAAAAGAGCCAATGCTTTATCTGTCATTTTTAACTTACAGTAACAGTTGAGGAGAGCTCCGTAAGTATTTCTGTGTTGCAAATGTGGAGAAAGGTCATGAAAGTAACCTTCAGCTGCACCCACACCATGGACCTTCGATATAAGATCCAAACGCACTGCAAAGTCGGTGTTGGAAAAGTTGATATCCCTCTTATCCATCCATTCCATTACCTGCATAATCAATCATATTCCTTGTAAATTGCAACAAAGGCCATTTTTGTTTTTACCGGTTGCAGAAAGAAAACAAATCAAAACACAGTGGAAGAATAGAATAGAATATGAACCCTAATTTAAACTCTTATAAAATAATTATACTATAGCAGTTAATACTAGTAAAATCAACACGATAACATCTGGATTGATCGCTAAGCAACTAGAACAAACACATACCTCAAGAGCGTGGTGGTACTTGCCATACCTGCGGAGTTCCCTGATACATCTCTCTAACTCAATCTTTTTAACGAAATTACCCTCTCTAATGTATTGATTTAATGTTTGTGCTACTGTCCCACCCGTGGCTCCCAACGCCGACAGCCTTCTGTATAACCGCTTTTCATCTGCGGATTCTTTACGTGGTGGCGACACAAGGTCAACCACAGCAGCATTTGATTCTTCCACCACCGTACAAAACATTCTCAGCAGCGTCGACGTTTCGCCGAATGATATCCGGCTCCGGCAGCGGATAATCATCATCCTCTATCCTGCCTTCCGCCGGCGTATTGGTCCGTTTGATATAACCCAGGGTTCTACGGTTCTAAATCAAGGGTTTAAGGAGCTGATTTTTCCACGGGATATTTTTTATACCTTCACTGAAATTTACAGTCTATTGACAATTATGCCCTTATTTCAATTATGATTGTTATTCCATCTTATTTATTTATTAAGTAGTCACAAAGCATAACTCTAACTTGAATTTTCTTAAATTTAATATATCTAATATTTTTTCTTTTATTGTTAAAAAATGAGAAATATATGTATTTTTTGTTTTCGAAGGGTGTGGTTGCTCGACTACATAAGTATAATCGGTTGCTAAGAATTGATTAGTGACAAAATGCTTGTAGAGTAGTGTGCCCTTGTTGATGACCATTTGCTATAATGGTGTTGAAGTACTTAGAGATCTTACTTGGTGTAGAAATTGTGGTTAACTGGCTTTCCCATTGCTCCTAATCGATGTTGGCTGAGAAAAAATATGTCCTCTCAAAGTTGGTTGCGATAAAAGGCGTGACTTGCACTGGTTGACATGATTTTACTATTGTTGTTATTTGGTGTTGGTTGTTGGTTGTTATAAAAGGTGTTCCCCAAAGTTGGATGCTATAATAGGTGCTCTATCAAAGTTGGTTCCTACAAAAGATGTTATCTCAAAGTTGGTTAATTCACCTTGGTTTTTAGTGTTTTATCTTTTTTCTCTATTTTTGCTTTCATTTCTCCCGGACCCTTATTTCTTAGTAAATTTATTTAAAAATGAATAATATTACTAGAAATATAAACTAATACTATTTATCTTTTCAAAAAATAAAGCTGAAGTTTCATTTGTCCATATTACTTTCTTTTATTTTATTTTATATATATTTAGTTTATTTTTATCTATTAATTATACTAGGATACTGTAACGTCCGTACATTCGGGCTAGTCAATTTAGAGACGATAAGCATCAAAAACGACTTTTTGATGGAAGATTATTTAGAATGATTAA